CTACCTCCGTACAGTTGTCTTCGAACGCAAACGTGTCAATCTTTTCGTCAAATTATTCCGTGACTATATCTAGGTCCAATGTGTGCCTTATGGTACATTTAACCCTGCCTGAACAATATTCCAGGCCTGCTTTACATAAACAGTTTATTTTACGAAGGTTACGATATATTGCATATTATTAAAAAATAGATGTGTCGATGGTCTGAACAAGACACTTCTTCTAACACATGGCTTTTCTTAACAGTTCTAGTCACGTGAGTCGTGACCAGCGTTATGTCAATTACTTTCTTTCGTTGTGAAGTTACGAAAGTTGGTGTGTTTTCTACTTTTAATGCTCTAAATCATGTTCCATAACAAACTGTAGTAATAACAAATCTTTTTCATCGGTATTTGTACTGGTCTAGGTAGATTGTACAAATTAGCATCACAGCCGATGTGTGATGTTCAGTTCATTTTTCCTGCAATCTCTCATTAGCGGTTTTGGTGAAATTCTCTTGTGGTGGGTGTTGGGGATCATCATCATTTAAACTCAGAGTTCTTGTATCAAAGCTACATCGAACATTCTCATAGTAGCCATCGAGGCCTCTAATGATTTTGAACGATACCTTTCAAAGTCTGTAATATGCCTTGAAATGAACATTCTTAAATGCTCTGTAGGAGACCTTGTTGATCGTGTATACTAGGATTTGTGCATCCTCCTATCCTTCCAATACACTTCCATCTTAAGATCTTGATTTTGGAACCTTATACGGTTCCTTATATTTGCTTATCAGCCCCTTTACCAGCCAGAGGACCATGAGCGCTTGGGCATATTATTGGGATAGACCTCATTTAAGTCCTTCCACAGGCCCTCTACAGTCCTCTTTACCTCAGTAGTCCATGTTTTTTTGTTGTATACTACACGATATTTTATGGAACAGCAGAAGTTGATTCTGACTTCCTTCAGAAACTTCATTTACTGCTCGTTCCAATTTGTTGTTAATCAGGTCTGCTTGACCCTGAATACTTTTGTCACATCACATTTCTATCAGACCTAGTCTGCTTTTTATAGTCCATTGATTTTTAGTTTACCAATTCTTGTTGCGGAGGGGGCTTAATGATATTCTCCCGAGGTTTCTTTGTACTCTCAGGTTTACCGGTAATACCTGCAATAGTTTTATGTGAATTTGCTGTGGTCCATGTCCCAGCAGCCTTTTTGGCTCTCTCCCATCTTTCTTTTTTGAGTTTCAGAAGATCGTGGCTGTTTCTCAATATGTAGAAAAATATTGAGTGGAAATCAAGTGTGTATAGGAATATAATTACTTGTACTATGTATATTACCTTTGGCTCAAATTGGCTTGCAACGTCTACAACTTATTTGGCGGTTTTCGATTCCCACACAACCACATAGGTATAAAGAAAGTTCGAGAGACGACATAATCTTGGCTTTAGCCTTCGCATCGTGTATATTATCATTTTCCGTTCCATGTAAACATTTACTTAGGCCTACAAGTATGAGGAATTTTTCAATGGCAAGCTACCATTCTTCATATTTTTCACGGCCTTGTAACTTTTGAACACTGACAAGATAGTTGTTAGACGCCATTTTTAACTCTGTCTACACGATCCCGGCAATACGTACGAAAAACAGTATATTTATGACACATGCAGTAAATAAGGGAATTGTAGCGTAAACTTTATCTTCACTAATACCAAAGATATGGGGCTCATAACTTACTGAGTACAAATCAAGGGTGTATAGAAAAATAATTACTCTTGCTCACCTGTGACAACCTTTTATTCAGTTATCATCATGTCAGTAAGTTGTAGTTGCTGCACAAGCTAAGTAAAACTTTTTGACACGTGAACACCAGTAATTGCTTTTCTATATACCCTTGATTTCCACTAAATAAGAAGTTTAGGCAAATTTTCGATAAAAGACTCCAATATTCCACCGCGAGGAACTGCCAGGAACCAGTTCAGATGCAAATCAAGAAAGATAATATAATAACCGTTAAAATCGAACCCAAAAAAGAGTCTTCTCTGCACCCGGAATCGCCTGTTAGACTGGACATAGTCTGAAAAATCTTCGTGTAAAAAATATATAACTACCCTGATCCAGATTTGCAAAAATAAGGTAGATACACACATAGGTAAATACCTATTGATTTGTAATACTTAAAAAAATTATTTATAGCTCAAAAGTGTAAATAAAATTATTTCTGGCGTAATTTTAATCAAAAATAAAAAAACAGATATTTTTCCCTTATTTTAATATTTTAAATATAAAATTATATCCAACAAATTACTTTTCTTGAGGTTTCATTGATTTAAACACTTAATCTTGATACACCCAACTTATTCCTCTTTAGGAAGTTATTATCTATCCCCCTTGGCTGCGTTGTACATATGTGTTGTTTAGTATCTTAAATGCGATCCATAAGTTCTTTTTAACCCTATTAAATATCTCCAATTGCTCCAATCTTCAAATATAATTTAATCAATCAATGCAGATGTGATGAAACATTATAGCGCGCATGTCCGCATGCAGTTTCAAAGACAATAACGAAACTTCATGCTGAACGACACTGTTGCCACGTTAGTGAAAGTTCTTACAGTTTGGAGTTAAATAATAAATAGAATTAAATAATGAAAATTTAAAAAATTAGAGAAATTATTGATACTAATTGTATATATGATGTTACATTTAAGAGATTTTCATTTATAAACGACGACGTATTAATAGCAAATAAAAAAGTTAAAAAATAAAAAGTATTAGAATAATTATTGTTCAATCACAAATTAATCCCTTAATTTGTAACCTCACATCATTCTTAACTTGTTAATCTTTTATGGTTTCACTGTGTATAATTAAGGCATTGTAAAACTGTATCGAGTAATATTTTAATAATTAAAGTCAATTCACCTGTTAATAAATGGTCGAATAATATATTTTTTCTAATTGAACTTCCTAAGTGTTGCAATTACGGCCTAGATTAAATTGTATTGTAAACAAAGTTTGTTGGTATGGTATGATAGAAAGCAATGACTTATGTGCTTAGGTATGAATTATTTGTGAGATTATAAATTGGGGATTTAAGCTCATGTGAGCGCAGTCTATTATACATAGTTACCTAACTAATATCATATAGTGTAATTAGTAGTAGTTGTCAATAAAATCATAATTTTCTCCACAACTTCAACTTTTTATTATATTTATCATCGTCGATCAACAAGAAGCGGACAAAGGGGCATTATAAAACGATTCGAACATCATAACTACGTTTGAAACTGCCCATTGGTCCTTCGACAAAACAACATCAAAAGGGCGTTAATTGGATTGGAGCTTCGAAGAAGACGACTCTTACCGACTGAATAGCTGTTTCCCAGTTCCGTACAAGATCGACGATCGAATTGGAAGTGTAGAGAAAATAAAAAATTAATAGAATGACCATAAAGCACCGAAATTAGGGGTAAGAGCCTGACGAGAGCCTTTGATCACAAGAGAACCAAACTTAACTTAACTTAAAGAAATTTAAACATCCAATTTAATAATACTTAATTGAAATATTTTTATTTTGCATACTTTTTTACTTAAAATAGTAATATTTTGTTTACAGCTAATTCAAATCCAACATTTTATTTATTTTGATATTAATTATATTCAATAATTTTAATTCTTATAATTTAAAATTCTTAAAACATTTGATTTTCATAATATAGTGAAATACTTGACAAATCGTTATTTTTATACACATTTAGACTTCATTCAATTCCAACTATATAGTATTTGTAGTATTTTGCATTTTTTTATATATAAATTTCTCTGATTCCAAGTGATAAGATTACATTCTGTCATTTGTACAATAAGCCGTGTCAGCAAGGTTAAGTTCATTGCGTTGTTTTGTAAGGTAATCTTGCTACGACATTAAAAGTTAAATTTAGGTCAAACTTATATACGTACGTAATCGAAAACGGGATTTGGCGGAGAAGGTATAACTTTGAACTATACAACATATACCAGGATCCGGATATCATAACATTCATTAAAATAGGAAGGCTACGTTGGATTGGACATGTGGAAAGAATGGAAGAAGGCGAAATACCAAACAAAATATTCAAACAAGTGCCAGTAGGAAAAAGAACAAGAGGAAGACCGAAGCTGAGATACGTAGAACAAATAGAAAATGATATAACAACATTAAAAATTAAAAACTGGAAAAAAAAAGCACGAAACAGGTCAGAATGGAGAAGAATCCTTGAACAGGCCAAGACCCAAAAAGGGTTGTCGAGCCAGTGATGATGATGATGAATCGAAATGCAGAGATTATATACAGACCAAGAAAAACTAGGTCAAGAAATATCTAAGTTTTTAAATAATTTACAAAAATTAAGGAAAGGAAAAGCAATGGTGCAGTAGATGCCTACTACACAAAACGGAAGTACCATGTTATTCCTCTTATAGATGTGCAGAATGTAGTGGACAGCACCATTCATTACTACACATGTCAGGTCAGTATGATAACAGAAGAAATTCTGAAAACAGAAGTCCACAAAATAGACCAAATTCTAAAGGGTGTCAATATGATAACAGAAGGAATTCTGAAAACAGAAGGTTACAAAATAGACCAAATTCCAGTGGGTTAGAAGGTCAGTATGATAACAGAAGAAATTGTAAAAACAGAAGGCCACAAAATAGACCCAATTCTAGTGAGACCAGAGGTGACAACAGTTACAACGGATCTTCAAGAAGACAAGAGAATACCGTGAGCTGTTTAAGTCACCAGAATGAAGAAGTGCTACTTGCAACGGCATTAGTACGAGTAAGAGACTCAAAAGAAAGCTCACAATTGATGAGAGCATTGATTGACCAAGGCTCGCAGTCATCATTATGGAGCAGGCCACTTCAAGTCTCGGAATAAAAAGGCTGTCCACGCTCAGATATCTGGAATTGACAATGAAGACCAAAGGACGTCTAAATGGAGCGTAACTTAGAGGCGCATTTCGAAAATGAATTTGAAATGAAGATCGAAGCACTTGTACTACGAAAATTAACAAAAAATCTACCGGAGAACGAGATACAAATAAAAGAAAGGAACCATAGGAACTTGGTCCTGGCGGATCCAAATTTTAATGAAACAGGTTCAATAGATATTCTATTAGGAGCCAAAGAATATAGTTTGATATTACTATACGAAGTAGATCGAACAAAGAATGATTTGTTCGCCCTAAATACAAAATTGGGTTGGATAATGTCAGGGATAGCACAGCAAGAGAATATCCCTAATATACAAGTACTCAGCATGATATCTAGACGACAGATGGATGAAGCAATAAAAAAAACTGAAAAATAGAAGAACTAGATCAAAGCAATACTCTTTCAGTAGAAGAAAAAGACTGTGAAGGATATTATAAAAGAACAGTAAAAAGGGATAACGAAGGAAGATTTGAAGTTAAAATACCCTTCAATTCTAATACAAGTTTATTAGGGGGACTCGGAACAGCAAGCATATACGAGACTGCTGCAATTAGAGAAGAAATTTCAAAGAGACGCAAACCTAGAAAAAGAAGAGGTGGTGTTGTGCGCTCGTTATTGGTCCCAAGGAATCTACTTGCAGTAGATTACAATAACTTACACTATTTTTAAGTGACATGAAAATAAAGGAAGGTAGCCAGATATATTCAAAACTCCAAGAGAGTCAGAAAACAAAGGCACCAAGGCTCTTGCATCCAACCTCATCCAGCGCCTCGGAGACATACGGTATCACAACCAAATTTAAGTAAAACTTTAGAGAAAGCCCCTCCTAGATCAGTTTTACTTAATGAGCTTTAACCTTTAATTGTGGCTTATTCCCATTTAAATAGTAATTTCCTGAAGTTAAAACTGAAAATTCTTACCCACTTCATGGTTCTGTAAAATGTTTCTAACAGCGCACGCCATGTAAGTTATAGTATATTGTTTACCGGGTAGGAAAAGCTTAACATTCCTGGACGACTGTGAAGATTGCTAAGTCGAGGCGCAAGCCGAGACTTAGCAACACAGAGTCCAGGAATGTGGCTTTTCCTACGAGGTAAACATACTATTTTTCCGCAAATCGTTTAAAATTCTACAGATATTGATGGATTTAAAAAAAACGCGATAATTTTATTCCCAAATAAATGGTGCTTTGAAATTCATAATAAAATTACTTGGGTTACTATGGAAACGTATTGAGGTTGAATTGTCAAACTTGATATGCATGTTGTCCAAAATGTTTCTCATAGTTCTAAGAGTGTTAATATAAGAGTACTGTAAATATAACAAATTGATCTTAAAAATGTATTCAGCAATGACTTGATGTTTTCAAAATATAAATTAATTCCTTTTAAGCAATGTGTTTTCTATCATTTATGTAGAACACTAACAACTGTACGGAAATATCATTTCCTTACAGTAAGGAAATGACATTTTCTTACAGTAAGGAAGTCCTGACTTTTTCTTCAAGAAATTTTGACAGGAATGTCAAAATTTCCTGGCGATTTGCGGAAAAAACATATTATAATTTTATTATAAAATATAATTTAAAACGAAAAACATGAATTATAGTATTATAAGGGATAAACATTTTAATATTAGATAAATAATTCAGTTAAATGAATACAGCATGTTAAACTACCGATTGATAATCACAAATATTTACGAATTAAATGTTAAGAATTCGTAGTAATTTCTAGTTCCCTTTACAAATTATTGTGTTAAACGATATTTTATTCACTTAAAATACAATTAGCTCTAGAAAGCTAATTTACGAGTCATTTACGAGCCCTGGGTCTTAAAGAAATAATACCATATTTTGTTAGTAAAGATATGTAAAAAATGTAACTTCATATTCATTTACAATAAAATTTGTACGAGAATCTTCTTTTATGCTTTATCAGATATATTAATTCGTCCATTACTCCAATGTTTTATGTTATTTTTTATATGTTATGAAATTTTTTTGTTTTTGAAACTAGAATATGAATACTCAATATTAGCAAAAATGAAAAAGAAAGCATGGAAGATTATTGGGAAAACATCAAAAATACTATAAATAAGACTTTATGAAACGTTCTAGATTACAAAAGAATACAAGAAATTTAAAGTTGACCAGACACGATGACTAGAAGAAAGAAGAAATTTGAAAAATAGTGAAAGATAATACAAAGAAGTAAATAAACGAATTAAAAAGAAAATAAGATACCAGAAATAAAGGGATAATTAAAAACTGCGAGGAAACTGAGCAAAACGTTCTTAAAAGTTATTGGTAATCGGACTCATAGTGAATGTGCTCAATTCGATTTTAAAAACGGTTTAGGAAAACGAAAGGAACTTTTTGGCATGAAGTTATTGGTACAGAAATGCAATGACCAGAAGAATGTCTTTTATTGCTTTATCGATTACCAAAAAGCTTTTTACAATGAAAGGCATATGATGTTAATATAGAATAAGTATATTGGTAAAGATATGAGGATGATCCAATAGTTTTACTGGAATCAAAAAGCAGAATTAAAGATCTCCAACTATCTATGTACAGAACAAATAGAAGTAAGGGCATGAGACAGGGCTGCACCTCCTCTCTGTTGTTAAACGAAAAAGGTATCAAAATAAATGGAATTCCAGTAAATAATTTGCGATATACTCATGATAAAGCTATTATAGCAGACAAAATAGAAGAAATACAAGAGACAGTAAATAATATTAATACAAGAGGAGAGGAATGTGGTCTTAACATTAACATCACAAAAACAAAATTAAAAATAATCAGCAGACAATCCCATATGCAATTTTTAATATTTGTAGGGCCTAAAATGTAGACATATGACCAATCATATTGTACGATAGCGAGACCTGTCACTTAAAGTAGGATCGTTAAACAATATTAAAGTGTTAGAAATGTGGTCTCTCCGAAGGTTGGTAGGAGGTCTTAAGGAGAACTTACACTATTTTTACATTTTTACATTATACCCAACGGGATCTTCTAAACATCGTTAAAACGAAAGAAGGGTTTCATATTTAGGCTATATTTTAAGAGGCGACAAATTCTTTTAAAAGCCACTTTTATGAGCAAAATTAAAGGTTGGAGCGAACCAGGTGGCAAACGACATACATGGTTTGGAGACCTAAGAAATTGGTACGACATACCTGATAATAATGATAATAATATAATAATAAAAAGAACAGAAGAAGAATCCTTACGCATAATCCAACCAACATTTACGCCTACACACTGCACAGCGTATGCCATCAGAAGAAGAAATTTTGGATTTTACACCGATTGTTACACAGTGTTGTCGTATGTTCGAAAAATTAAAAGACTACCTAAAGATTAAACAATCTTTAGGTAGAATTTTACTTTGGAAAATTTCCTTTTTTATTTCCATTAATGTTTTAACAGTATATTAACATGTTTTAACATGACTAGTATTGCCAGAGCAGACACCCGTGTCTGCTACGACTTCATAGACATTTTTTCACAATGTCTGCAAATCCTGTGTATTTAACATACATCTTTGTCTGCTAATGTAATGGTTTATAGGTGACAACTATAAACTCTTTAAATTTTCTTACAGTCTGCTTTCTTTGAAGATTACAAAGATGCTAGTTTTGAAGACAAATATTTACTTTCATAAAAATAGTACAAACAGCCACTAATTATAATGTGTTTTATTTAAACAAGAAAGACACATTGGAGGTTTTCCAATACAATCATTACAAAATGTGGTAACTTTTGATATTTTACTTCGTGGAATCTCACCTAATTTCTTTTTTTTTTGTAGCAACCTCGACAATATTTACGATCAGCTCGTGAACTCCCCTCTTTTTTTTACAAATTGGATATCGACTTTCGTTTGGGTAATTCAGGATTTTGGGTATTTGGTGGCAAAGTCTCATCAGCTTTGTTTAAGAGTTTTGTTACAATATATGTTACAATATATTTGTACAAAAAGCGAGCATTTACAATACAAGTTCCTAAACACAACTCTATGGCTAGTTTTCTATACCACTTCAGGTTACGTCGAAATGCCGAACCATCACTAGTCTTTTGATCAGATAAATATATGGAAGATTTTTCAGTATTGTAATCTGTAATTGACTTAGATTTGATCACAGTTTCAGTTCTTCTAACTATTCTATTGTATTCTTCTGCTTGTATTCCTAGCAACGTTATTATTCTACAGTATAGATTTGGACCAGTAATTCTTTATTGCTTGCATTTTCACCAGACCCTTGTACCCTATAAATCTTAGAAATGTTTTCATTTCAGAAATAGTCATGGCTTCCCGTTTATGTAGTGACAAGGATCCTGGGATATCATTTTCTGTTGTTAGAAATTATGTAGCATAGGTATTGCTGAACAATATGCTCAATTATATTATTATCCACACAAGCGGAATAAAAGTCAAACGGAATACAACTTGAAAGTTGAGCTACAACCGCGTCATTAGGACCACATTCATCTATAAAAGAAAAATGTTTCTGCCGTCCAGTAGGTTCAGACCAACCATCACTGATTTCTGTAACGGATGAGTTGACTTGGGAGACTTTGTGTTGTGATTTTTCAATGGAATCATCCGATTAAAACTCAAATCACTTCAGTTTTAATCGGATGATTGATTTTCTGTCTGCGTTTTTTTTTTTCATGTTAGACTTTGGCGGAACCTGAGCAGCAGTTTTAGAATTATTAAAATCTGACGGTCTTGGAACATAAGCTAGATCGTTTATAGAATTTGTGGAACTGAATTCCCCATCTGACGAGTTGCAGCTTTCTTCTGAAAATATTGATTTACTTACAGCCGAATCTAACTTAAACGTGTTGTTAATTTAACTTTTAGCTACCTAATACGGATATAAAACAAAAGAGTAACTTAAAGATTTACTAAATCCATCGAGCAAAAAGACAAAAGAGGGAATGTAAAGGTAGTGGGGGCAAACATATTGTTAGACAGGAAGTGCGATCTTTAGAGGCCACATTAAACAAGGAAAGAGAGTATCTCTCCTTGTTTGACATCAAATTTAGTTGGGTTATGTTATTGTTTGTCCCAAATGTCACATGAAATCTTATTTATATTAAGTTTTTTAACAATTGTGTCGCATTTTAGACTAATATCGTTAATAATTAATTAAAACTTTCTCGTCTAAGACACATTCTGAAAAATATATAGCTACTGTTGATAAGTATCGGAAAATTTAAATTTGGCGCATTCGCATTTCCGGATATGTCCGCCATCAGAGGACACTTTTTGGTCTCCTTTTCATAAGGATTAGATTCCCTCTTTTGTCTTTTTGCTCGATGACTAAATCACATGGATGTCTTTTAGGTTAGGTTTGAACGACTATGGTGCCTTAAACATCAGTGTCTGCTATGTGTGTCTGAAGAATTAATAAAAGACAAAATGTTATCAATGCTGCAACAGACACCGGTGTCTGCTTATGAAAAATGGCTTCTTCATCTTCTTCTTCCTTCTTGTATGTAGGCTTTAAAGCCTGTTTCTTCTTCAATATTAGCCTCCTAAATTGTTTAAATTATCGCACCATCATGAAAAATGGCGACATAATTAAAAAATATGGTTGCAGTAAAAAATATCGACTCCATTTCTCCTAAAAATTTATAAGGATTCTAAAAATTGTAAAAATAAATAATTTAAAAATCCACTCATCCAATCTGGTTGGCACTAACCTGTACGAATCTTTTTGTTTCGAGTCGTTTCGCCGAATGTTTGCAAACATCTGACAACGTCGCTTCCCACCCAACCTAAACACGGGAGAAGCACGAGAGATTACATCCAACTGAATCGAAATCAAACACACCAAACCACACAGTACACAGTCGCTCAAAAAATACGTGAAACTCTCGTATCGTGCAGTTTTTCATTTGTGTTAACGTTTTTTGTTGTTTTTAAAGTTCGTCGGTTATTACATTAATAAATGAAACATTATCATTGAGTGTTTCCATTGTTTTCATTGATGCCTGGGATATAAAACGTTCGTGTGTAAATAAACAAATACTATAGTGTTATAAAAGTTGTTAAGGTAAGTTTGAAGCTTGTAGAATTGTGTTTATAATGTCGCTAAATTAGAAATAAGTAATTTTTGGGGAGGCCGTTACGTTAGTAGTAAAGGGGGTTGGTCCCTTCTTATAGGTTATGTTAAATAAAATACAAAAAGTATGGACTGTTTTTATAATTTTTGATTTGTCTGTCGTTTGATTCAAATGAAATTGCTTGTACTATTTTGGGGGGCATAAAATACACTTTATAATAGTAAAGCAATCAAAATAAACCTTGTATTAAAATAATAACCCATTTAGACATTCTAACAAAATCGGTTTAAAGTTTACAATTTTGATATTAATATAATTTACTTTTGTTCAAATTGTTATTATTGATGATAGATTGACGATATTTTTTCGGAAAAATACATGTCAGCCTATAAAGTATGTTAAAATGGAAAAATAGCCAGATTAACAAATAATTAGTGTTTTTAATCATTTTCTGCAGGTGATTAACTTTTAAACACATTTACTGTTTGATGGACTGTCTTTGATGGCTTGGTCTAAATTACAAGCAAAAAGAATTACAGCAAGTTATTATATTCATTCACCAGCTTTAAAATAAAAATAAATTTTCTATGCATTTGCATTTTTTTTTTCGTGAATGTTGTTCATTATCTTGTGGAAGTGAAAATAATATATATTACAACCAAGCGAAATAAAAAATTATATCTCATCTGAGATTTATATTTTATTGCTATCACATAAAATCGTTTAATAAAGTGACACTTTAATTCATAGCAGTGTCACTTTACTATGTATTTGTTACAATGTTATACTCGGTTCGCTGATCCTCTAGTCTTAACTGTCTAGTTTTAGTAATTATTAATTATTTTTTGCTACCTTGTTTAAATTTTGACTGACTGGAATTTATTATTCAACCAAGCATACTTGCTGATAGCCATAATTTAAACAAAAACTTATTCACAGTTAATTAAGAAAACAAAACTGCATCAAATAAAACAAAAGTTTATTTTTGCAATTTTATAGTCGTTTATACATTAGTCTTTGCAAATGGAGAGTTTTCAATGAAATTTAATGAATATACATTCCCATTTTTCATGATTAATCTTCTTCTTTTTTTAATGCAACAACTGAAAGAAGTTTAGAACTAAGTTTATTTGAGCTATTAATATTAACCCTCCGTTAGTCGCTAGGGAAAACTGAGCATCAAGAGTCGCTATGGTGTCTGAGACCGACAATTAAAAAAAAGTTATTGTTATAAAATTCATACAAATATTTTATATTATGTATAGGAATGACTGAAAAATATTTTTGAAAATATTTTATTAAAAAACAATAGATACAAAATAAAAAACACTAGTATAACAATATTGTTATGTGTAATCTAAAATTAAATTAAAAAAACGTTCTTCAAATTTTTGAAATGAAAAAACACTTCGTAATTTTTAGTTAAGAGGAATATGGTTTACCTAAAAAAAAAATAACAAATATGAAGTAAGCATTTCACTTGATGTAGTAAGTGAGACATTTGATGTTGTAGCGTCTCTCAAGCAAAGCTGACATATTTCATGAATATCGATACATTTTTGGCAAAGTAACGTAAGTCACCAAAAACGATTTGTAGAAAAAACAATTTTTTAATTCAACCTGCTTAAACTTATTTAAATTATGACTGAAAAAACTTATCCTACTTGTCCTAAAAAAGGTTTAAAGTAATTCTAGGCTTACTACACTCTTTCAGTACCTTTTTAACAGTAATAGCATTAGTTTAATTGAAAAACATTATTTTCGCCAAAAATGTCACTTACGTTACTTTGCCAAAAATGTATCGATATGTTCAAGGCACATGAATTTTTTGCATTTTATGCATGTAAAGCCAGTACACCTGTTCTTTTTGGTAGTACAAAATGCACAACGACCCTTTGTTTGACTTCTTTCTGGAATTGCAGTAGTTATATCTGTGATGCCGCAAATTTCGCGAATTCGGCATTTGAGGCTAACTGACAGATTTGTAGTAGTAACTCGACTTTTTAAATAGGGATATATAAGCTCATTTGCAAGGTTTTATAGAAAATCACGTCATTTCACGTGTTTCTCATTCTTATCGTTTGCATTAAAGATAACCATTGAATTAATGCCAGATATATTCAATATGGTAGAGAATATAACCATTGGCCACTGCTTTGTGCTTTTTGATCAGTTGTAGTTAGCACTGAGCTGGTCCACCATGTCGACTCCTATTTTTGTTGAATTGTATAGGTCGATGATTTCTGGTTTATTTTGATCACTCCTACTATAATCAATTGCATCATCATGATGTAGTCAGGACACAAGTAATCCATTTTTTTAGGAATAGGAGAAACTAGTGTAATATGTTAAATAAAACCAAACATACTTGAATTTATGCTTTGGTTTTGTGAATTCCAATGGCAATTCTCTTTTATTCTTCCTAATGGTTTCCACTACTGTAATTTTCTTCTCGTATAACTTGTTCACCAACTGGATACAGGTAAACCAGTTGTAAATTGCTAGATTCCGGCCTGAATCTTAAATAGGTTCACATAGCCGTTCAACAACATCACTAGGTCTGTTACTAACTTGAAAACGTCTTTCAGGTTGTTGGCCAACATATATCATACCTCTAACAAAGAATATAGTTAATTAACCATGCAAAAGATTTTAGCATCAGAGAGTGCAAAAACTAAAAACTTTTATGACGTACTGGTTCAGTTTTGATGGGATATACTGGCGAAATCAACACAACCAACCCTAAATCCTGGTAACATCTCATCGATGGTGACATATTCGGAAATACTGTATCCTACAATGAGTTACAAAAGTGTCGAAAAAACTTTGTATAGGAGCCAACTTTTCTTCCTTTAGTCGGTTTTCATGAGTGACTTTGTCATCGAATCGCATACACCGAAGTAGAAATTTAAATCGTGGAAGCGACATAGTTAGGCGGAAAATTTTTCCATAAAAAAGTTTTGTTTTGTAAGAAATATTTAAATTTTATTGAAAGAGTAAAAAAGTTAACAAATTTACGTAACACATTTAGAATAATATATAATTAATATTATATATTTATATACTTGGTAGATTTAAATATTTCTTATTACTAGTAAAATTAGATAACTTTTTTATTGAAAAAATTAATTAATTTTTCCGGGAAAATTTTTTTCATCGCGCTTGCAATTCCATTCTAAAAAAACGGAGCTTGGAAAGTTCTCCCCTCCACTTTAACGTGGCGATATTTTGCAAGTACGATCACTTTCACGGGCTATAACTTTGTTCGTTTTCTCTGTATATGCCATAAATTGGATTATAAAATCTAGATCTTCACTTATAATCTGTTCAATTTTCATATCCTAATGTTAATAAACAATGGAAATATGATTTTAAGAAAAAAATTTCTATCTTGGTTCGTATTGGCCATAGAAGGTTCTTTTTTAAACTTTGATGAAATTAAAAAAAAAATTAATATACAGGGTGCGGCATTAGTGCGAGGAAATCCAATTACCCATTTGTCGTAAGAGATACGAAAAAAATTATTTAGGTATACATTGGAACATGGATAGGACCATACTCTAAAAATATTTTCAATCATCTCCACCCATATTGACGGAGTGGAACAAACTTATCATTTTTTAAATGGAACACCCTGTATATTTTTAGATTTTTGGACTCTTCTCGATGTTTTTGTTTTTTTTTTCAATATAAGATTTGGCAGTATTTTACGAAGTCAATTAAACGATAATTACGTTTTTTTTATTAATTTAGTAGCAAAAAATACCCTGTAGAATTGCAGAAATTTGTTATCAAAAAATATATTTAAGTATGTTCAAAATATTTTTAATATAGTCTACTTTTGTCTAAAATTATTAACGTAGTGAAATATTTCATTTTGATATACAGGGTGGGTCGAAACTAGGAATGAGTTTTCTTAAATGGAATACCCTCTTTAATATTGTAATAAAATATATTTTATTATGCTTTATTATTTGTTAAGCATTTAATAAACTTGAAGTGTTCGAGATGTGGCTATACAGAAGAATCATAAGGATATCATGGACGGACAAGACAACTAACGAGACTGTATTACGAAGAATGGGGAAAGAACGAGAAGTGATGTATACGATTAAACGGGAAAGTTAAAATATCTCGGACACATAATGAGAAACGGCACTAAATACAGATTACTGGAAATAATCCTTCAAGTATTCGGAAATTGAGAGACGAAGAGTCTCATGGTTAGAAAACCTGAGGAAATGCTTCTCCATAACATCAACTAATTTATTTAAAGCAAAAGTTAATAAAATAATTATAGCCAGAATGATCGCCAATATTCGAAACGAGAGACACTAAAACTTCGAAAAGGCCTTTGACCGAGTAAGTCATGACAAACTTATAGGTGTCTTGCAACTGGTGGGATTTGATGACTGTGACCTCCGTATTATCAAAAATTTGTATTGGCATCAATGTGCAAACATACGAGCTGGACACAACACGACGGAAACAATGGAAATACGACGTGGAGTGAAGCAAGGATGTATTCTATCGCCTCTACTTTTTAATATCTACTCCCAATTTATTTTCAAAGAAGCCTTAGTTGAACATACAGGCATTAAAATCAACGGAAAAAATGTCAACAATCTCAGATATGCATACGACACGGTACTTATTGCCTGTAATGAAGAAGACCTGCAACGACTTATAAACAGGGTAACCGAAGCAAGTGATGAATATGGGCTAAAACTTAATACTTTTAAGACAAAACTTATAGTTGTCAGCAAAACGGAGTTACGACCAACGAACATCAGAGCGTATGGAATAGAGTTAGAAAGATTTCCACAATATTACCTACTTGGGCGCAAACGTTAACGATAACTGGGATATAAATAATCAAATAAGAATACGCATTGAAAAAGCCAGAGCCGCCTTCTATAAATTAAAGAAAATTCTAATAGAGATACTTATTACGTTAAACCTTAAAATTAGATTAATACGCTGCTACATA